CTTATACGGTGTCATTCCTTGTCCTATAACCTTAATTTTAACTTCCTTTTCCACTCCTTCCAAATACACCCATTAAATAATACTTACGGTGTAACTTCCCTTGTCCTATATATATATATATATAATATATAAAACCTTATTTATACATATATATATATAAAACTATATATATAATGGTGTGTGTGAGTGTGTGTTCGTGTGCTGTCTGTCGAGTAGTGTATGTGTGTGTGTGTCCAATGATATAGTGTATCGTCGTGTGTGGTGTGTGGTGGTGTGTTGTCGTGTGTGTCTTAGTGCTTGTGTGTGGCGTGTGTGTTCTGTTGTACGCGTTGTCTCCGTCGTAATGAATGTGTCCTTATTACCTAACTTTTCCTCCTTCGAAACCCCTTATAGTGTGTGTAATGTGTTACCCTGTGTGCCACTATGTCACTCATAATGATAATATCCTCCTTTCTCTATCAAATTCTCTTTTATTATCTTCCTTTTTTCCTCCTTCGCAAAAACGCCTTTATACTGTCGTGTCTTCCCTTGTCCTAAACCTTATTTACTTCCTTTTCCTCCTTCCAAAAACCCTTATACTCGTGTCTTCCCTTGTCCTTAACCTTATTTACTTCCTTTTTTCCTCTTCCAAAACCCTTATACTCGGGTCTTCCCTTGTCCTAAACCTTATTTACTTCCCTTTTCCTCCTTCCAAAACCCTTATACTCGGGTCTTCCCTTGTCCTAAAACCTTATTTACTTCCTTTTCCTATTCGAAAAAACCTTATACTCGGGCCTTCCCTTGTCATAAACCTTATTTACTTCCTTTTCCTCCTTCCAAAAACCCTTATCCCTTGTCCTAAACCGTATTTACTTTTCCTAATTCGAAAAACCCTTATACTCGGGTCTCCCTTGTCCTAAACCTTATTTACTTCCTTTTCCTCCTTCGAAAACCCTTATACTCGGGTCTTCCCTTGTCCTAAACCTTATTTACTTCCTTTTCCTCCTTCCAAAACCCCTTATACTCGCAAGGGATCTGAACTTTGCGCTTCACATCAATCGTAAGAGAAATTCACGCCCATTATTTCTCTTATTTTTTATTATTTCTTATTTATCTATCTATTATTTATTATTTATTTATTTATTATTTATTATTTATTTATTTATCTATTATTTTTATTATTTTTATTATTTTTATTATTTATTATTTATCATTTCTTATTCATTTATCTATTTATTATTTTCATTATTTTTATTATTTATTATTTATTACTTTTTATCATTTCTTATTTATTTATTTATTTATTATTTTCATTATTTTTATTATTTATTATTATTACTTTTTATCATTTCTTATTTATTTATTTATTTATTATTTCTATTATCTTTATTATTTATCATTATTACTTATTTATCATTTCTTATTTATTTATTTATTTATCATTTTTATCATTTATCATTATTACTTATTTATCATTTCTTATTTATCTATTTATTTATGTTTACTTATTTATCATTTTCTTATTTATTTATTTATTTATTATTTTTATTATTCATTATTATTACTTATTTATCATTTCTTATTTATTTATTTATTTATTATTTTTATTATCTATTATTATTACTTATTTATCATTTCTTATTTATTTATTTATTTATTATTTCTATCATTTATCATTATTACTTATTTATCATTTCTTATTTATTTATCTATTTATGATTTTTATTATTTATCATTATTACTTATTTATCATTTCTTATTTGTTTATCTATTTATTATTTTCATTATTTTCATTATTTATCATTATTACTTATTTATCATATTTATCATTTTCATTATTTTTTTCATTTCTTATTATTACTTTTTATTTTTATCATTTCTTATTATTACTTATTTATCATTTCTTACTTATTTATTTATTTATTATTTTTATTATTTATTATTTATTACTTATTTATTATTTCTTATTTATTTATTATTTTTATCATTTTCATCATTTATCATTATTACTTTTTATCATTTCTTATTTATTTATCTATTTATTATTTTCATTATCTTTATTATCTATCATTATTACTTATTTATCATTTCTTATTATTACTTATTTATCATTTCTTATTATTACTTATTTATCATTTCTTATTATTACTTATTTATCATTTCTTATTATTCTTATTTATCATTTCTTATTATTACTTATTTATCATTTCTTTATTATTACTTATTTATCATTTCTTATTATACTTATTTATATATATTCTTATTTATTTATTAATTTTCTTATTTATTTATTATTTTTATCATTTTTATTATCTATTATCTATTACTTATTTATCATTTCGGGCGTGGGTAATACGCCCCACGTGCACAGCCCTTCTTAATGACCGGCCATCTCTTCATATGCAAATTTTGTTGTAGAAGAATGCAGTGATATTAAATTAATGGATCATTAACTTTTGCAATATCATTCATATATTTTTTTTTTTCTCTCGGTTCATCAGACAAACATTTTAGATATATTTTATGCAAATTCGTGCTAATGTACATGTATACATTTGTGTTTATACATACACATATATATGTGTATATATGTATATATGTGTGTGTGTGTGTGTGTGTGTGTGTGTGTGTGTGTGTGTGTGTGTGTGTGTGTGTGTGAGTGGTGTGTGTGTGTGTGGTGTGTGTGTGTGTGTGTGTGTGTGTGTGAGTGAGTGAGTGAGTGTGTGTGTGTGTGTGTGTGTTGTGTGTGTATGTGCATGAGTGAGTGAATGTGTGTATATGTGTGTGAGTGTGTGTATGTGCGTGTGTATGTGCGTGTGTGTGTGTGAGTGAGTGAGTGAGTGAGTGTGTGTATGTGCGTGTGTGTGTGTGTGTGTGTGTATGTGCATGAGTGAGTGAATGTGTGTATATGTGTGTGAGTGTGTGTATGTGCGTGTGTGTGTGTGTGTTGTGTGATGTGAGTGAGTGAGTGAGTGAGTGAGTGTGTGTGTATGTATGTGTGTGTGAGAGAGTGAGTGAATGTGTGTATGTGCGTGTGTATGTGCGTGGGTGTATGTGCGTGTGTGTGTGTATATGCGTGTGTGTATGTGTGTGCGTGTGAATACATATATATGTATGTATATGCAAACACATCCACACCCATTAAGAAAGCTTATAAGTTGAAAAAAAAACAAAATCATCCTTCATGCAACATAAACATTGCAATGAAAACCACCGAGAAAAACATTCGACATGAAGCTTTCGATAATTTTCGATAATGGGACTTCGAGCTTATCATGCAATCAGATAAATGGACTCCGTAATCGGCGATAGAGAGATAAGAAAGGGAATAATGGAAAGGAAGATAGGAAAAAAAAAATCTGTCATCACTAATTGAAGAGAGAAAGAGGGGGGAGGGAAGAGAGAAGGAGAGAGAGAGAAAAAAAGGAAAGAAAGAGAGATAAAGGAAAGAGAGAGAGAAGGGGGGGAAGAGAGAGAGAGAAAGGGGGGAGAGAGAGAGAGAGAAGGGGAAGAGAGAGAGAGAGAGAAGGGGGGAAAGAGAAAGAGAAAGGGGGAGGTGTGGAAAGAGAGAGAAGAGGGGAAAGAGAGAGATAGAGAAGGGGGGAGAGAAGAGAGAGAAGGGGGGAAGAGAGAGAGAAAGAGGGGAGGGAGAGAGAGAGAGAGACAGTGAGGGGGAGAAAAAAAAACGAAAGGAAAGAAAGAGAGAGAAAGAAAAAGAGAGTTATTTCAGTATCTTCCCCGAAATCAAATTGCGCTTATGAGCCAAAACGACCGAAATTAAGAGACATTGAGCTTTTCAATCGAATCTTGATGAAATCTGAACACACGTTATGAAAATATAAAATCATCATCTTATGTCCAAACAAGTGATAATCAACCATATCGTCATTTCTTGTTTATAAAAGCAACTTTAGACATTCTACAACAATAACTTCTAAATCGTGTTTACAGCCCCATCTAGTGGGAGAAGTCCGAGGTATAATGAATGGCTAACGGTGAGAGAGAGAGAAAGAGTGAGAGAGAGAGAGAGAGAGAGAAAGAGAGTGAGTGAGAGAGAGAGAGAGGAAAGAGAGGGAGAGAGAGAGGAAAAGAGAATGAGTGAGAGAGAGAGCGAGAGATGAAAAGAGAGAAAGAGAGAGAGAGGAAAAGAGAAAGAGAGAGAGAGAGAGAGGAAAAGAGAAAAAGAAAGAGAGAGAGAGGAAAAGAGAGAAAAGAAGAGATAGAGGAAAAGAGGAGAAAGGAGAAAGAGGAGAAAGAGAAAAAGAAGAGAGAGAGAGGAAAAGAGAGA